TAACTATATAGAAATACTAGAATTGCATGTTTATAATAAATTTAATGGAAGAGGGTATTTGTTTCAAGATGATAATGCACCTGTCCGTATAGCAAAAGTTGTCAAAACATGGATAGAAACAAAACAAAACCAAAACTTTAAAAAATTGGCCAAGTCAATCTCCTGATTTGAATCCAATCGAGCATCTATGGAAAGCGTTGGAAACAAGAGTTCATAAAAGACATAATAAATTTAAAAATAAAATGAACTCGAGATTGCTTTGCACGAAGAATGGAAAAACATTCCTGAAAATGGTTTAATAAATTTAATAGAAAGTATCCCCGAAGAATTCAAGCATGCATTAAAGTAACGGTTGGCCAACTAAGTATTAGATCAATAAGGGTTTAGCTACTGTAAGATAAAAATTGTTGTACGTAATTAATAACAGTAACCATCACTAATAAAATTGATGATCAACATTGTTTTAATTTCCTTTATTTTTAATTATTCAAGTTCACAGAAATCAATTGTTACTTAATATACAACAATCCCCTACTCTAGGGATGGAGCGGTTTCATTAATAAACGGTTTGAACTTGGTTTTGAAACCAACCCATGGTTTTTTTTGGTTTGGTTTTGGGAACCGTTCGAACCGGTTACACATGTTCAAAATGTGACACAAATAATTAATAAGTGTTCGTGTAATGTTGTTCAAAAAACCGTTTAAACTGTTCAAACCAGTTCCAATCCTTTTTGGTACAAAAAGACATCAACTATTATTGGTTTTACCAAAAATAGTACCTACTCCTCAGGGGCGATCAATTCAAAAAAATAGTTGCACCAAACAATTATAGAAGTCAAAATAATTCCGTTCTTTTCATTGTAAACTTTCTATCAACAGTTATAAAGGGTTGAAAATTATTTTCAAAATTTGCCATCTGTTAAGCCATAATGTTCTTTATTTAAAATACTTACTTTCAAGTGATATATCTCCTACCTAGCCCAATTGTATCACAATCATTTTCTTAAATCTTATTGGCCAAAATATGTACACGTGACAAAAATTGTGTAGATCACCGGAAATTTTTCGGAAAACAAACTTGCCCCTTGATTTTTAGGACATGTCACACGACTAATAGTAGTAGTAGTAAATGTAAATCAATTCCTGTTTAGGTTATTGCCAAATAAATAGATGTGATGTTACACATAAAAATTAATTAATACTCTTCTCACGATAATATATATCTATATGTGAAAAACATTTACGTCTTTCTCCAAATGCCACAATTCAAATTAAAAGAAATTATTTTGGAGTACATTTAATACTTCAAATACTTGGTGTCCAGGTAAATTACAACATAATTGAAG